CATTTAATTTTCTCCTGGTCTATATTTGTAACTGCCTTCTCTGCCAGCGAGAAATACAGTGAAATCTCACTAGCCATATCTATAAAGGGCATTCAAAAAGCTCATGGGCATAGTGACTCTTGTGGCTGCTGCTTAGGAAACTCACATCCCGTATTAAAGTGCCAGAGTAGTCCCAGTTACTTCTCTTCCTATTGCACTTTCCAACATGCTGGGAGTTAGCAGGGGATAGCTCAAGTGCTTGGGTGGGAGGGCAAGATGGAGTTCTGTGCTCCTAGTTTTGGCCTGACTTAATCTAGATAGTGTGTGCAAATGGAGAATGAACCAATGGATGAAAGAGTACACACACATGCTCTCTTTTTTGTCTACTTTTAAAGTAGATAAAAATAAATATTTGTCTTAAACTTCTAAAAAGAAAAAAATTTGGAATTGGAATTAGAAAGTAAATCTGGACCGGGCATTTATTCTAGTGTTTTTTGTTGTTGTCTGTTTGTGTTAAGATTTACTTATTTGAAAATCAAAGTGAGAGGGAGAGAAAGTCTTTCAATCACTGATTCACTTCCCCGATGGCTGCAATGGCCAGGGTTGGGCCAGGCTCAAGCTGGGAGCCGGGGCTTTTTGTGGGTCCCACATGGGTGGTGACAGGGACCCCTAACACTTGCACCTTGTTCCTCTGCTTTTCCCAGGCTAATAGCAGGGAGCTGGATCAGACATGGAAAAGCTGGAACATGAACCCATATGGGATGCTAGTGTCAGAGGCCACAATTTTACCCATTATACCACAATATCTGTCCCATGTTTCTGTTTAATCATTCTCTTTATGTTTATCATTTCCTCCTCTCTTTTGTGCTCCAATACCTTGTCCTGGGCTGCTGTTCTTTACTGATACCTGCTACCTCCCTGAGGTCCTCCCAGGGGTGCCTTTCAGATTCCACTCAGGCTTTCACAGGGCTGGGCTTCTGCACCCCTCTGTCCATCCCTTATCCTTCCTCATCCTGATTGGCCTTGATACTCTGTGTGTGCCATCTGGATTCCTACCTTGGTCACCTCTAATGGTTTTTGGACTCAATTGCTAAGGTAGAGAGAAGGAGAGAAAGAAGGTATCTTGTTTTTCTAAACCCAAGGAGCTATACTTGAACCTGATGCAGAGGATCTGGACTCTGAATCTGAAGTAGCTTTAAAAAATATTTATTTTTATTTGAAAGAAAGATTTACAGAGAGAAGGACAGACAGAGAGAAAGATCTTCCATTTGCTGGTTTACTCCCCAAATGGCCACAAAAGCCAGAAATGAGTTGATCTGAAGCCAGGAGCCTCTGCTGGGTTGATTATGTGAATGCAGGGTCCCAAGACTTTGGGCCATTCTCTGCTGCTTTCCCAGGCCCCAAGCAGGAAGCTGGATGGGAAGTGGAGTAGCTAGGACATGAACTGGAGCCCAAGTAAACTGTGAGCACTTGTAGGCAGAGGATTAGTTTATCTAGCCACCATGTCAGCCCCTGGACCTGAAGTCTTAATGAGATGTGCCTCTGGGGAATCTTGAGGGGAGATGAAAGTACTTTATGTGTGGGAAGAATCTAAATAGTTTATGGGCCCTGGACAAACCCTGGTGAAAAGTCATTCCTCTTCTTGTCAAGAGGTTGAGTCTATTTGTTCTCTGCTTGACTCCAGATGACCCAATAATCGACTTTTAACAAAGGGCTGCCTGCAGAACAATGCTGAAGGCGGGGTCTTCTGGGATCTGTGTCTTCTTACTTTGTCCCTTTTGGAAATACACACTCTAGTTTAGTGAGCAAACCCAAGCAGCCACAGGAGGAGGAGTCTGTGAAAAAGTCAGCAAGAAACAGGAAGGTTCTACAACCCACTCTGAGCCAACAGCCAGCACCCGCTGCCAGTCATGTGAAGGAGCCCTTCTGGAACTTCCAACTGTGCCAGTGCCCCAAGCTGACCGCAGCAGAGGCACAAGTGCCCTATTACACAGCTGTATGACGCTGCTGTTTCAAGATACTAAGCTTTGAAATGGCGTGTTGCACAGAAGCAACTGCCTACCACAAGCTGGGCGCTATTCTCTGTCCTCATCTTCAAGGGTGAAGCAGAAACGAAAAGGAACAGGTGCAGAAGACGGTGCTGCAGGAGGGCAGAGGAAATGCCACTCAGGAGCCCAAGGCGAGCTGCACAGACAGGCAGAGGGCGGGGATTCTGGGCAGATGACTACTGGGCAGGATAACTGCCAAGCGAGGTCCCAGCTTTTGGCAATCGAGCCCTGCAACTTCCTCTTTCAGGTTCTCACCTAATAGGATTAGTTTTTCACGTAAAAAGCTCAAGAGTGGAAAAAGCTGGAGACAGTCGGGAGGGGTGGGGAAGGTCGCGAGGGCTGATCTTTTTCTAACACTTGTTTGTGTTTGGACAGATGGAAATTTACTGACTCTGGGTATCTCTGGACTAGGGGCTGGCAAAGCTGGCATTCAGTCTTGTGAAAGACATACATACTTGTGAAATGTACCCTCTGTACATTTTTCAGGTGGAGGATTCACCAGACCCAAGCTTACACACTGGCCAGTTTTCTGGAGGCCTTGGTTACTGGGGTCACCTTCTCTTTTATCAAGTCTGGGGAGAACAAATCTTCGCATTGAGCTCTAAAACACTTTAGTAATAATTTCTCCTATTGCCTCTTCCTGTGTGATCAAGATGCTTTTAGGTATTCATTTCCCAAGAACTCATGTGGACTACGTGCCAGGCTCAGTTCTGGGAGCTAAAGATACATCGCTGAATGAGAAAGTGCTTGCCTCATGGAGCTGGTCTTCCACCAACAAAGCGAAGCGGAGACAACAGAAAATAAACGGATAATGCTGGGGAGCAATTCCTGCAGAGTCAGTACATTTGGGCTGGAAACAAATCTACATAATAGTCTGAGGGGCCGGCACGATGACTAATCCTTTCCCTTCAAGCAGGGATTCCATGTAGGCTTATGGGTTATGTCCTGGCTACTCTACTTCCCATCCAGCTCCCTGCTTATGGCCTGGGAAAGCAGCAGAGGATGGCCCAAGGCCTTGGTATCCTGCGTCCCCGTGGTAAAGTAGAAACCCCGGGCTCTTGGCTCTGCTGCCTCCCAGAACACATCAGCAGGAGGCTGGATGGGAAGCAGAATAGCCTGGACTCAAGCTGATACCCTGAAATGGCACCTGTATGTCCCGAGTGATGGCCTAGCCTGATGCTCTGTAATGCTGGCCCCAGCATCTATGGATTTAAATTTTGATCTGAGTACAACAGCACAACCTGGCTTAGGCTTGCAAACTGGATGCTGAATGGAGAATAGAATGGGGGAGGACCAGGGAGAAGGTGAAGCAGGTGACCCAATAGGAGGCCCAGATGAAGGTGATGGCTATTTGGTCCATTATGGTCCAGAGTTAGTAAGACAAGAATTTTCATGTTTTGACAATGGCACTGAGGAGATTCCTTAAGGGCCTGGAAATGGCATTTGTGAATAAAGAGGTAGGCTAAAAGAGGTAATCCTTTTAGGATTTGGTCTGGTAGAACTGGATGAATGAGGTAGGAATGGAAATAGAGAATGGAAGCAGCTGGTTGGCGGGATGTGTTGATTTAGAGAAGCTGGTAAAACAGGCAGCTGAATACAGGAGTCTAGGGGTAAGGGAGGAGATTTGGGCTGGAGATAAAAATTTGGAGCACTTGGGATACAGGTATTAGAAATCACGCCCAGAGAGAGGCAGAAAAGCACATCACAGCCCACTTGGGTCTTCCCCAACAACCCAAGAGTGGTCAGAGACCGGATGACTATCAGGAGGGCCTAGTGGTCAGACAGTCAAGGAAGTATACTTGTTCAATGATAGCGAAATGTTAACTCCTGTGCCTCGGTTCTTTCCATCTGCGAAATGGGGGCATACAGGCTCCATCAGTGTGGTGCAGCTATTGCTAGAGTTCCCCTTCAGAGTTCGCTGCTGGAGGTTTTGGTTCCTGTATTTACAGCATCTCCAAGGATCTTGGAGAGGTGTCTTTGCTCTGGCGAGGCCCCTGGGTTCCAACCTAGGCCTAGGAGCTTCCTTGTTGTAAAAGCTTCCAGTCTTAGTGCAAAATTCCATAAGCGGTTTTTGGGGTCTGATCAGCTGGGGGATCTTGGCATAAGTTTCTTAACCTCCGTGGCCCTGAAGTCATCATCTGTAACGTGGGGACAGTCCCTAATTCGTGGGACTCTGACCAGCCCCGCATGGATTGCACATTCCAGCAGCCAGGCCTGAGGGTCACCAGGGAACCTCGCCATCTGCCCACTTAACTTCTGTATCCTGGCGTTGTGGTGTGCTTTTAATATAAGGCAAGCGACCTCCTGCGCCCTGCGCCCATTGGCCCGGGGACACATGGTGGTACAGGAAAGACAAGCAGTTGCGTGTCCACTCTCTAGGCCAGAGGCCGCGCGGCGCCGTCCTCGAGGGTTCCCCACGCCGGCCCGCTGGGCCCCGTGGCCTAGAGGAGCGGGTTTCGAACCAGTTCCGCTCAGTCCCTCCCCTCGCGGGGTGTCGAGGTCCGTTTCCTGGCAACCCTTCTCTGGTCTTTCCCATCCCGGCTACTGGCCAGGGTGGCTATGGCCCTCGACCCCTCCGGGACAGTGCCTCGCTCGCTCTCCCCTCTCCGCTCCCAGCTCACCGCCGCGCTGCAGGCCCGGGCGCATACCCTACCGGAGTCCCACGGCACCCAGTGGACGGAGGCCCCTCTGCAGGGCTGCTCGCAGGAGGAGGAAGAGGAGAAGGAGGAGGAGGGAAAAAGGGAGGAGGGCGGGGGCGCCTGAGCCGGGACCGCCCCGGCTGTGGGCAGCCGCGCCCCTGGCCAGCGGTGGCCACGCCCCGGGCCCAGCGCCCAGAGGCCCCGCCCGCCGCCGGCCCCGCCCGCGCCTCGGGCGCCCTTCTGGTCTCCTGCAGGTCCTGCCTCGGAGTCCGCGCCAGCCGCGCGTCCGCCGCGCCGCGCGCCCTCGCCCCGCTGCTGGGCCCCTCCCCCAGCCGCCGTGGTCGGGCAGCGCCTGGCCGGGGGCCCGCGGGCGGGCCGCCCTCCCCACAGCAGCACACCCCCCCTCTTAAAGCAGCGGCGGGAAGATGAGGTTTCGGGAGCCGCTCCTGGGCGGCAGCACCGCGATGCCGGGCGCGTCCCTGCAGCGGGCCTGCCGCCTGCTCGTGGCCGTCTGCGCGCTGCACCTTGGCGTTACGCTCGTGTATTACCTGGCCGGCCGCGACCTGAGCCGTCTGCCCCAGCTGGTCGGGGTCTCCACGACTCTGCAGAGTGGCTCGAACGCCAACACCGCCGCCGCCACCCGTGGACAGCCCTCCGGGGAACTCCGGACCAAAGGGGTCCGGCCGCCGCCGCCTCTGGGTACCTTTTCCGAACCTCGCCGGGGTGGCAGCAACGCCAGCCTCGGCCCTTCAAGCAGCTTGACTTCGGTGCCGGTGGCTCCGACCTCAGCCCTGTTACTGCCCGCGTGCCCTGAGGAGTCCCCGCTGCTGGGTAAGGACTGGACTCGGTGTGGATCCCAGGACTGGGGCTCTCCGGCTTTCCCCCGACGGGGTCCGCCCAACGTACCGCTGTGCTCTGGTCCGCGGGACAGCCAAGCCCCCTTGTTCCAGTTCAGAGTCCTAAATGGGAAGGCAAGCTCTGGGCTGGCTGGGGCAGAGAAAGTGGGAGGTGGACCCTTGGGCGGCTGGGACCGGGGGAGGGGGTCCCTCTGTCCCCAAAGCGGGGAAGGCCAGGCGGGGGCTTCCCTGCTCTGGTCCCAGCGAACCTCAGGAAGTGTTGCAATTTGTGTCTGCCTTAGGGCTTAAAGAAACCTTTTGCGTTTGCTAACTCAGGCAGCAGACAAGAGCCACCCTGCCGCGTTTGGGGGCCTCAGCAGCAGGTTCTCTGGTGGAAAAGGGCGCCTGCTCTAGTCGGGAGTCTGTCTTTCCTTAGAGCTTGGACCTTTACATTGTGGGCTGACTTCTTAGCCTGTGGGCGTATGATTCATGACTCTTGTTCAGCCTCTGCTCTCTCTTCTGGTGAATGGGTAAACCATGCTTGTTCCTGTTTCGGGTCAGGCTGGTTGGGGTCCTAGATGAAACAATGTTAAGTGCGGGTTGAATTAATGAGAGTGAGCTGTTACAGTTGTGTTCATTTCCTCCTCTGGGCCTACCCCTCCACCCTGGCTTCCCCCTTCTGTGAGTTCCCAGGACCTAAGGGAGCAGGGCTCCTCTCTCAAGGGCAGAGGACATGTGTACGCTGGGTGCTGGAGGGCTAAAATATAACCAGTCCCTGCCTGGGCTTGCCCCTGCCCAGTCCTTCTGGTTCCAGCGCAGGCAGGGAGCTTTGGTAGGGGGTGGGTTTGGGCACAGGAACGTGAGGCCAGCCTGGACCACGTAGTGACCTGTAAACCCAGCGAAGCTACAGGTTGCTGCCGGGGTGGTGGACTCATTTCGAGGGTCAGCTTTTCCAGCGCTGTGCTGTGAGTGAGGGGCCCTGGTGGGCAGGCAGGCAAGCACCCATGGAACCCTGACCAAGTAGGCCTGCCTCCCACTCTTGCTCAATTGCTCCCATAATTACTTCAATATTTTCATATCAAGTTTGGGAGGAACCTCTTGGAGTTGGTCAGGCATGAACTGTGGTCATAAGGAGGGTTTCTTTCTTTCTTTCTTTCTTTTTTTTTTTTAAGGCAGAAAATGGAATTCCTTTGGACTTGCTGGTTGGTCTGGGAAGCATCAATCCCATAAAGTGAAGTTGGCTCTCTGTCCTGCTGCTAGATGCAACTTAGAGAGTTTCTTAGAGGCTTTCCCCACCTAATGTGTATGTAAAAGGAGAGGTGATCATAGTCTTGCCACCAGGAGATATTTCCAGGACAGAATGATGTGCGCCTGAAGCAGGTGGCGTGCAGTGGGCACTCATGATAGCATGGCACTAACATTTGTGTGGGGCCTTCAGGTTTTGTTTTCTCAGCCACTCTTTGGAGATAGCTTGTCAGCGGCAGAGAGGAGGCAGGATGAGAGGCCCCAGAACACAGAGAGGCAGACTTTATTTATTTTTTTGCTTTTGTTTTTACTTACTGCCTGAGCATTGTATGGAAAGCAAAAAAAGAATAAATGAAGGAAGACTGCCCTTAGCTTGTCAGCTTGGTGTCCGAGGTGTACGTGAAGTCTTTGGGTTTGACATATGACTAGTCTGGTGGTGTTCTGCTTTGTTTTGCTTGGTAGTGTGTCACCCGTGATGAGTCTTTCCGCCGTTACTAGTGGTGCCGCCTTTTGAAATTAGCGGTTCAAAAGCATTTAATGTTTAGAGGGCATGGGAGAGAGGCCTCACTGGGACTGCCTTCCTAGGCCTTCATGGGTGACTGTGGCCCTAGGGCAGCTGCTGAGGCAGCCCCAGGAAGGGTGGTGGCAGGAATCTGTTTGTTTCGATTAGGCCTTTGGGTTGGAATGGCTGGGTTAGCGCCCCGGTGTTGGGGGTTCCCTGTTAGGAGGAGCATTGAGAAAGTTTCCTGGAGAGTGTGTGGGTGAGGGGAATGGTTCCCATCTGTGCAGGTGTGAGGCGAAGGCATTGTGGGCAGGTTTTGAGGTTGCTGGGAGAAAGCCTCCGCTAGCTTTAGAATTCTGTGGGCTTTTCACTACTTGCAGTTTCTTTTTCCCCAACTAGACTCCTGTTTTTTGGTGTCCAGTGGTGTGGGCCAAGATGGCTGCAGTCGCTAAGGCCTAAGGTTGTGGGTTTTGGGTATGACTTTTTCTCTGCTTCTCTGCAGAAGGTAAGGTGGGGGCTGCGACACTCACCTGCAGCTGGGTCGCTGGTTGGTGGGTGGCCCCTGGGTTCTAAGAGCCTCAGGTGACTTCAGAGAGGTGTGGGTTAGGACGCTGCCCCCCTGTGTGCTGCAGGGCTAGGTTGCTATATTAGAGCCCCTCTCCCTGCACCCTGGGGTTCCCCCTGGCTAGTGTGGGAACTCCAGTTCCAGCTGCAGGAGGGAGGCGGCTCCTTCTGAGGAATCCCACTTTTGCCCCAGGGAGTTCAGCAAGGTGGCTCTGGCCCTGTGTTCTCCACCTCCTCCCTCAGCCCTACCTCAGAGGCCTTGTCTTCCCCTCTCTTTCCCTCCCCTCCTCCCCCCAGGCAGCATCTCTTCTAAGTAGCCCTGGTGGTGAAGTTCCCTGTTCTGGCCACCTGGGAGTTTGTCTGAACTGGGAGGAGCTGCAGCCTTGTGTTTTCTTTCCCGGAATGTTTATCTCCACTCGGATTTGGCAGCAGCTCAACCTGATCTGACCCACCGTGGCACTGCCAGGCCCAGGGGAGGAGAAGGAGGAGGAGGTGGGCAGCACGGCAGGCTGAACTGGTTAGGGGAGACGGTTGTGACCTGGGGCCCAGACTTGCTGCGGGTCAGGGCGGTCACTTCCACCCCGTAGCCAGCCATGAAGTGAGAAGATCTGTTGAGCTTTGAGATTTGTCCAGAAGGGACAATGCTGATCTAGAGGTGGGCGCTTGGGTAAGCTAAACAGCATCTGCAGGTATCAGGGCCTCTGGAGAGACTTGTTCATGAAGCAGTCTCCCTGGCTATTCTGGAGGCCGTAGCAGACGATCCCATGCCGTGGCTGCTCTCTTGGGAATAGGAAGCATCTGCTGGGTTCTGGGCTCTCCTGTGTGCCACAGCTGGGGCATGCTGTACCCCTCTCACATGAACACACGCAAACACACATGTGATACAAGCACGCTGCCCAGGTCTGCGTGGACTCCAAAGCTTAGGAAAGTGCTCTGTCTTGCCCTGGACACCTTCTGACTTGGAGCAAAGTGCAGAAAGCTTCACCCTGTGTCCGTGGAAATCTTGACGTGTTTTGAGCTTCAGTGACCCCAGTTGGGTCTTGTTCTCCTTTGGGGAGAAATGACTTACTAGTATTCACACAGACGTTTGGAGCCCAGCAGTCTGGGACTGAGAAAGCATTTTGTTGGTGACTTTCAGTTGTCTTTCCCATGGGGCTGACAGAGGTAGATGTGATCCCTCTTTGTTGGGAGTTCAGGCTATGAGCAAGCACTACAGCTGGTGCCTCATGCAGCAGCACTACAGCTGAGCCAGATGGAGACTCCTTGGGACTTGGGCAGAGCAAAAGCCAAAGGTGGGTTTATTTTTTTTAAGATTTATTTATTTTTATTACAAAGTCAGATATACAGAGAGGAGGAGAGACAAAGAGGAAGATCTTCTATCCGATGGTTCACTCCCCAAGCGACCGCAACGGCTGGTACTGCGCCAATCCGAAGCTGGGAACCAGGAACCTCTTCCAGGTCTCCCACACGGGTGCAGGGTCCCAAAGCATTGGGCTGTCCTCTACTGCTTTCCCAGGCCACAACTCCCAGGGAGTTGGATGGGAAATGGAATTGGAGCTGCCGGGATTAGAACCGTCGCCCATATGGGATCCTGGCGTGTTCAAGGCAAGGAATTTAGCTGCTAGGCCATGCCTCTGGGCCCCAAAGGTTGGTTTAGACCCAAATTGTAGCTTCTTGCAACCACAGTACCCAGAGGACGCCGTCCACTGCTGTTCCCTGGTGATTACCTTATAGACAGCTTTGGGGCCTACGGACCCGGCAGAAGATCCCTCAAGCTGTGACTGTGGATCCCGCTAGAAAGGCCTTGCATAATGGTGTTGTCAGCTGAGGCACCTGCCAATTTCTCATTCAGCATCAACAATGTGCCTTGATATGCTGGATGCTGGAGTTATAAAGACACCATAATACCACCCAGTCTGCTCCTCTTTAGGAAGTCACACCTTAGGCAGAGGAGACATAACTTAAAATGCTGGTATCTTTTTGGGAGGTGTAAAATGTGCCTTGGTTGACTTCTCCCGGCCTCTCCCTCCCTGCCTTTCTTTTCTCTCTTGGTTTTGGGAGTTATTCGGTCTGGCTTTTATTTGATTGCGGCAACATTTTTCTTTCATTTCTGAAGCTAGACATTAGTTCAGCTGTATCAGCTTGTTGCTTCATAATGATGGTGATGAGACCTTAGCAGCCACATGCCTGGTAGTATGGTCTTTGAGGTCAGGGCAGGGGTTTCCAGGCTGAGGCCTGGCTCCTTTATGGTTCCGAAGTGATGGGGGTAACTTTGAGAGCATGGGCGGCAGGCTCACCAGCTGGGCAGTGGGTGTATGCAGAAGGGGCCCTGTTATTCTGTGCTCTCACCCTGGTACCTCCTGTACTACCCATTTCTCCAGTGCCTCCTGGGCCTTATTTCCTCACTGCTCGTCCTGCCTGTTTTTGCCGAGAAACAGAGCCTGGAGTTTTGCTTGAAGCCTCATCCACCTGGAAATTCCAGTTTGCATGAGCCAGTGGAGCAATAGTGTAGTTGTTCTGGGACAGATCCCCCCATCAGCAGAACCCCATCAGCAGAACCCCTTTGATTGGGCTGGTGGATCTCTAGGCAGTGAGGATGTTGCACACATAGGCCAGGTAGCCAGACCCAGACCCCAGGGGAGGTAAGAGCTCTGTGAAGGGATTTGGTGACCTCAGTGGGACCC